GGGAGAGAAAATGGCTAATTGGGCCCAATTTGGACATTTTCACTTAGGGGTGTACTCACTTTTGTGGCCAGCGGTTTAGACATTAATGGCTGTGTGTTGAGTTATTTTGAGGGGACAGCAAATTTACACTGTTATACAAGCTGTACACTCACTACATTGTAGCATAGTGTCATTTCTTCAGTGTTGTTACATTAAAAGATATAACAAAATATTTACAAAAATGTGAGGGGTGTACTCGCTTCTGTGAGATACTGTAAGTTCAAAAGTGACAGTAAAGACTTTTATAATGCTCCAATGCAATAAATGCAATGGCAATAAATGCCATTCTTTGAGCTGTCAATTCATCAACTGAGCATTCATTTCATCAAGGATGCTGAAAAATGTCATGGTTTCCAACAAAAAAATATTAAGCACCAGCACAACTGTTTTCATTGATAATAATCGGAAATGTTTCTTACGCACCAAGTCATTGTATTAAAATGATTTTTGAAGGATCATGTGATACAGAGACTGGAGTAATGACTGTTGAAAATTTAGCTTTGCAATCACAGGAATAAATTACACTTGTTCTTTTAAATTGTAATTTTAAATTGCTGAGCATATAAGAGACTTTCAAAAAATTACATAATCTCATCTGCCAACTTTTAAACAGTAGTAATGTATTTAAAATAATATTTATAATAATAGCCATTAATTGCAATAGAATTATGAAGCATTTTACTGAACCATATGCCTGAATGTATGTAAATGTGTGCTAAAAGGGTCTCTTTAAAAATGAATGGCAACAAAAAATAAATATCAGAATATTGTTACAACATTTATTGTATATTAATCTAATTAGTGCACCATTAATAGCTACATATAAAGTGTTTATTGTACTGAACCTGTGACCACAGAAGCAGGATACGTGCTGAAATGCGAGACATTTTTAAAATATATTAATGTAAATAATAACCCATAAAATAAATATATTCTGTAAATATATTCATATTCTAATATGAATAAATATTAGAATATGCAATAATATATAAATATTATTATTATTTTTTTTTTTTTTTTTTAAATCTGTGAAATGCCAATCAAGTTCTGAAGTGAATATCAGGAAATTTGGTCAGTTCTTTTATAATAAATCTGTGTTATTCTGTAGTGCTGACAGTGAACTGGAGGACGCAGTTGTGGAAGTAATTGACCATCACCTCCTACAGAGGCCCACATCCCCCTCCTGCCCTGTCACTGTGGAGCCCGTAGGCTCCTGCGCCACCTTGGTTACAGAGCGCATAGCCCAAAAAGCACCTGAGGTGCTCGACCAACAAGTGGCTCAGCTTTTATACGGTGAGTGTCATGGCGATGTGATAAACACAGAGGAACGTGAGCTCTCACAGCATGACTGCTATTCAATCTGTTAGACACTGTTGTTAGACATCAGATGGGCTCAGCATGGTCTTCAGTGGCATTTAGCCGGAGATAGTCAGTTTGTTCATGGTACCCTCTAGATTTGACTTGATAGAGATGTGAGATGTCAGCAGAAAGATAAAATCTTGTTAACTTGCATAATGTATGTGTTGACAGGTGCCATTATCCTAGACTGTGTTAACATGGCACCTGAGGCAGGCAAAGTCACCCCTAAGGACAGCCAGTACGTCGTCTTTCTGGAGAAACGTTTTCCCAAACTGCCTCAGAGGGGTGCTTTCTTTCAGTCGCTACAGAATGCCAAGTTTGATGTGTCAGGTGAGAGGATCTTTTACTGTGTAGGTTAATGAAACAAACCACTTGATGTAGACATAATAAACAGTATAATTTGAAAGCATGCATTTATCAAAAGTAATTTCACGGTACTGTTCTGTATTTCAGGCCTCTCCACGGAACAGATGCTGTTGAAAGACATGAAAGCAGCATCTGGTGGGGATCTAAATTTAGCTGTCAGTGTCATTTACATGACACTAGAGGTCAGTGCTGTTATTTGACATATTTCACTTGACCTCTAATAGCTTCTACAATCTCTGAAGCTTGCAATGTCTTGATTTGATTGTTTTTGGCTGATACCGCTTTTAACAAAAATTATATTTTTGCAGATATATACAAATTCTGATATTTTGTCACTTTATTGCATGTTTTTTTTTTGTCACCTGATTGGTGTTTTGTGTTTGAAGTGTGTTTTTAAAGGATTTAATCACATTCTTTAAGTTTTTTTTGTAACTGTTGTAGCAAAATTCTATAATGACTGTAATTTTTTTTCTTTCGTTGCTTTTCTTTCAAACAGACACAATGTCTGTTTTTTTAATTGTAATATTACATAGGAACAATGAAAGAAGTAATATAATACTAATATGATCATTTCAATAGAGGTTTTAAACAATAAAACTCACCTTTTTTTGTGATGGAACATTACAAATTACTCACACCTCCATCTATTTTATTAACTATTAAATGTGATTCAGTACTGAACAATTGCTTGCTATACATGCAGAATGTATTCTTGTTTTCTTAAAAGTAACTTTGGATTTCATCTTGAAATTATAAAATACTTTTAGTGCAAGTCTCTGAATAAACAGCAATGTGATGCATGGTCAAAAACAAAATATGCTTGTTTTATGCCTGTGTATACAGTGCTGCTTGAAAGTTTGTGAACCCTTTAGAATTGTCTATTTCTGCATAAATATGACCCAAAACGTAATTAGATTCATGTTTGTGGAAGTGTATCATTGCACAAACAAATGAGATCTCTGAGGACCTCAGAAAAACATTTTGGTTTAAATGAGCAGCGTTATGTTTGGAAAAGTAAACACTGCATTCCAGCATAAGAACCTTATCCCATCTGTGAAACATGGTGGTGGTAGTATC